CATGTATACATATGTATGTATGTAGCACTTATCCTTGTAGACTTGCATGCAGCACTAATCACAGCAACTCAACACCCAGCTCTTCTAACTCGGATGTCAGTCTCTCCTTCACCCCAATTCTCACCGCTTGAGATTGTACATTGTTCAGATAGTCCGTTATCTTTGTACCTTTCACACGGTCTTGAATCGCTGCTACACTTTTCTCTTCAACAAAAACGTCGCCGTCTATATTCGGGTTCCATTGGCAGTGGGCCACATGCACATGTGCGTCGCGACCACAGTCCTCCAAGCAAAGGCCACAGAAGGCTCGATCGCACAAATCGCATGTCAAAGCGGTGCACCCGTCTAAGTCAATCAGTGCTCTCCGACACAGGCTATTGGGACACCGCAAGGTCAGGATCTCATCGCAAATCACGCGTACGTGCCTGTCAATGTCCGACTCTTGCTGGCGTTCTGCCAGCGTGCGTTCGAGGTCGTTCCGGAACTGCTGTTCAAGTTCCTGTTCAAGCACAATCATGATGCTGCACAAGTACGTCTCGTAGGCTGTGGCCTTCAATACCGCTGCGAGTTGCGCATTCGTGTAGGGAACTGCCAGGCACTCGCCCGGGTGGTTGGGGCACAGCAGCTCGCGTGTATCCCTGACACACCCCGGCCCGTTGTAGTTTACATTACAGCACTCGCGTATGTGTGCCTGGGCACAGCTACGACAGAGAGTGTGCCCGTCGCCGCATTCCAGATATCCGACCGCCGTAAAATTGTCGGTGCTGCTGTCGCTGTCTGTGCGCGAACCAAAGACAATTTCCTCGTAACACACTAGACACTCGACTGTGTGAACTTCAATATCTCGTTCGCGCCGAATCGCCTCGTCACGCAACGCTCTCAACGCAGCCGTTTCAGCCCGCAGTTGGTTCTCCAGCCGCAGCCGCTGCTGAGTCTCCACCTCAAGGCGCAGCCGCCATCCGTGCTCCGTCTGTCGTTGCACATCTTGGGGCGTCATGCTGGCTTGTTGTTGGCGGTCAAGCGCAACAAGCTCCATCATGACGACCCTTGATGATGGTCGGTGTTTGGATTTACCCAGACACCGTTGCGCCACACCCCTCAGGTTTTCGAGCGCGCTCTTTGTTGCGGCATTGTCGCTATCGCATCGTGCATCGACGTGCAGATAACTGCTTTCGGCGTCAATACGGAAATCGTCAACGTCCTCCTCGTCGCTCATGGACTCCAACACACGACCACTAAACAGCTCTGAGAGAACCAGCCTTAACGAATAAATTTCGTTTCGCTCACCGTAGCGACTGTTATTCATCAAGTATCTTGGACACGAGTAGGCCTGTGTACCGAACTAACGCTGCCACGCTTGCGTGGTTACCGTGAATGTGGGGTGCTGGAGAGCCTGTGGGGCGTCTGGTACCATAAAGGCCAGCCCACAGTCGATCAGTTTGGGTTCGAGAGTGGCGGTCAGGACGACGTTGGCGGATTTGACGTCGCGATGGAATACTCGCCCACCCCCCTGCTTCGGATTGTGCATGAACGCGAGCGCCTTGGCGATGCCGGCCGCAATGCGCATTCGCACGGGCGGGACAAGGAGTCTCGCTTTGGTGTCGTCCACCAGATTATCGGCCAGACTGCCGTGCTCACCGTGCTCGTACACCAGGTGCGCCGCCTGTGTTTCTATGCTGAGTGACTAGCCTAGAAGTCGGATGATATTGGGGTGTCAGATTCTTTCTAGCAGCTCGACCTCGTGCTCCACTCTGGTGCGGTTCGATTCAAAGTCGGTCTCGCTTTGTAGTGCCTTGACGATCAACCTGAAAAGGTGGTGCGCGACCAGCGTTCTTTCGTGCGAAACATTTACATTTATATCAACGTGCACAGAAAATTGCGAGAATTTGGTATATTTGGTATTGTTCTTGCACATACGTAAGGTTTGTCACCAAGTCGATGCCACGGTAAGCTGTCCCGAACGCCCGCCCCCCTACCTACCACCCGATGATCGCTGAAAAGATCGGTTAGGTGGTTGATGTAGGCTACCGAGACACGTGTGCAAGTATCAGGGTCGATTCGAACGATGGCTTCCTCCTCCTCATCGTTGGAATGCGACTGTGGGAGATTATGCGTGCGTTTCTTTTATAATACAAAATGGAAGCGAGTCAAGAAAGTCAGTGAAAACACGAACCGACATCTCACTTACAGAGTCAAAACGATCCTGAAAACTTGAACATTTGCCTCCGACTCCTCCAGCTGTAATTTCAAGGCGTGCACTTGTTCTGTGAGGCTCGTCCCATTTGCCTCCGACTCTTCCAGCCGCAATCCAAAGGCGTGCACTTGTTCCGTGAGGCTCGCCTCATTTGCCTCTGACGTTTCCAACAACTGCTGCAACAAACATACTTGGCCCTTCCGGGTGCCAAACTCGCGTAGTATCTCGCCCACTACTTCAGGTGTGAGGGGTGTAGATCCGAACTGTAATCAACCAACAAGTATTAAAATCTCACGCATCAATTGGCGAATCCACATTTTCACAACTAGTCCGCATGCAACGTCTTCATTCTTGCGAGGGTCCAACAAAACACCAATTGTTAGCACCCTTGGCGCTATATGCATTGACGCACACGTACGTAGACGCACTCACCCACACACTGGCATATTTACATCAGGATCCACTTACGATGTCTTTGACATGGATATCCGTACCCTTGGCCAGCAACAGCTCAACCACGTCCTTGTATTCATTCTGCGATGCCGTGTGCAGCGGCGTGCAACCGACCTGTTGCAACAAAACCATCAATTGTTAGCACCCTTAGCGCTA